TAGTACACAAGCAGACAGGAAAACTGGCCCACACTGCTGACACCTTGTCCTTCAGAGCACAGGAAACTACCCCAAAACTTGCCTGTTTCTTCTCCTACATGCCTACAGTGATACAAGAGAGCATGTCCCACTGCCATTGAGATCCTCAAACTAAAGCATGAGGTAATGGCAACTGCAACATTTGACAGGTTGAGACTCCTATGACTTTAAAGAGGAAGCTGTTACTGCTTAACACTTCAGAGAAATCAGATCATTCATTTCAGCAACCGATTATGAAACCACGTTTTCTTTTCAGAGCACATCCCTGCATGGAAACAACCACAGAGTCTCCCCTCGGTCCCAGTTAAAGCCGGGATCCAGATGTGACACACTGCCACTGTGCTGCTCCCCTTTCTACATTTCTCCAGCACGCAAGCTGTGGCAAGGGGGAAATGACACCGTACGTGTTCAGATTTGGCTAGCAGTTGCAGTGAGGGTGCTGTTGTCAAATAGAGAGCCCAGTTTAGCCTTAAATAATCTAATATCCAAACTAGCCTGCTTCCCCAGTTCAGGGATTTTCTTTTATGCGCTTCGCAGGAAATTAGATCAAATCATTTCCTTGCTGGTTTATGTCAATCAGTCAGCCTGCTGGCACCAAGCTGTTAATTATCCCAGCTCTTCCTCAGGAACCCAGAGAAGTGTCTGCAACCCCAGCCCTTAATGTAAACATTTCTTGATAACACAAAGGGAAGTAAAGTAAACAAAAGTAAGCCAGTCCTGACTGATCTTTGGACTCCACCAGCTTAACATTTGGACCAGATTGTCAAATATATTTCAGCCAGTCAGAGACATAATGTACTTCTCCAAACAATTTACACTAACATAAACTAGGGATGTGCCAAAACCAGCCGTAGGATTCTCTCCTTCCATTGCGCAAGCAGAACCATTCATGCAGTCACTTAGTAAGAAACAGGGGAGCTCAGCTTATCTGCAGATGATACGTCATTGCTAGACCCTGCGCTTTCAGATCTGGAGAGGAGGCAAAAGGATATAGAATTACTGACTACGTACCTCTAGGTGGTTTCTGGTGAACTTTCACGAAATCTGCACCACATAAGTGATTGAGTTTCTCCTTGGTTCCATCATTATATAGGTGAATTAGCACCTCCTTTGGAAAGTAGGGCTCCATTTCTGATAGTTTCAGGGCTCCTATTCCATTGGCACAGTCAATCTTCAGGTGTCTCTGACTCTCTCCAGAGCCGGGAGACTTCGCAGAAGGAAAAAAGGGGCAAAGTGAACTTATACCCTAGTGAAATCACAACTAGAGGCATGCTGAATTCAAAACTTCAGACCCAAACAGGCTAACAAACAGAAAATACTAATTTTGTACATTTGCATGAAGAAGACAACGCCCAGTGTTCACCTGTTTTATCAGTTCCGTAAAAGCTTTGGAGAGTTTTTCGTAATAACCTTCCAGCGTTGCTTTCCCATACTGCCCTTGGGTGTTCCGACAGCAGACCATGTAATGTAGCTGTGGTGTTGTCACCAGACCATAATCTAGCATAAAATAAAAAGGCACAACATTCAGAAACAGAATACTACATTAATTCCTCCTTAAAAGTCATACAGTACTTGCTATTCTACAATAAACAGACAAATGCAGCGCAGGAAACCTAAATTAAATTTTTCAAGTTCTGTTACGAAAAGATGAACCCTCCCCACCTGGCATTAAAGCCATACAACTGTCCTGAAAGAAGGTCATTACAAGCAAAAAAGGAAATGGTGTCTGGGCTACTGCTTTAGATCTACATAACAGAGTCACATTTACATAAAAACTTGAAATCAGACTAGAATTGCAAAAGCACAACATACCATGGTACTGACCACCTAGAACGGAGATACCATCTATTACCGACTGTGAAAGTTTCTCGCTGCTTGGCCTGGAAAACAACAAATACAACTGATAACCTTTGCAGAAGACATTTATGTATGCACTTGGGAAGGAAGCACATGTGGAAGAAGACTCTACAAGCTTCCTGCCAGTAGACTTAGATTCAATATGATGAAGGAATCCATACCTTTTTCTATTGTAGGGGCCTCTCAATAAAAAAGCTTGAAAGCCACCACTCCAGAAATTGCAGAGACAAGTAAACTGCTGAACACACATGGACATCACACTGTACCCACAAAAAACCACACCCCAAACCCACAATAATGCATCCCATTCAGAAACAGTGCTAGGAAGTTCTTATAAGTATCAGGGAAGCTAATATAAGAACAGGATTGGAAAACTTTTGTTTATTGCTATAATCATAAATTACTTTAACAGGTAGCAGACTAGGCATAAAAAAAGCATAATCTGGCCATGGAGGGCTAAACATCCAAAAGCACCCATGAACAAACATTGGCACTTCCATAAAAGCAGCACACATCTAGAGCATTTTCTAATTACCTGGTGTCTCTACCAATAAAAACTGAAGCATCTTTGTGCTGGTTCACTGCTGCTTTTTGGCAGATCTCAGTTATTATTTTCTGTAATTCTTGCTCCTCTGCATTTGCTAGCTGCGTGGCATACTCTTCCCAGGAGGGGTGCAGCATTTCACCAAGAGGGTCAACCAGCTTTACACCATTATCTTCCTTAGAGGAAAACAGAACAAAAGATACCAGGTCTAAAAGTGGCAAACTTAATAAAATCTCTTTGAAGACAGTTGACACATGGTTCAATCACATTGCTTCTGTAAATATGGAGCATTTCTGGGAAGCAATTTAACTGCTTATTTAAACCTCTAAAAAGCCAAAAAAAGTAACATAACCAGCACATTAAGTAACCGACTTTTTCCCTCTTATAATTTTGGTATGAAATTAATTTGACATTAAAATGACATAAGGGGAGATTCTCATAACCTGTAATGCCTCACAGCAGCAGAAGTCTAAATGCCTGATTTGTAATTGCTGCATCCCTATTTTTAAACTAGCAGAATTTCATCTCTTCACAAGGGTGCTCTTAGCTTGCCAACATTACAAATCGCCTACGTTACAGCATTTCCACGTGATAGAAAATTATGCTCCTATGTACGGCGAAAAGTAACTTCAAACATGACAGACACCACATTTACAGGCAGCAGGCTAAACACATGCTTTAAGTAGGTCCAAGTGCCTTCAGGATCTGGTCTCTCAGTACCATGAAGAGCTTTGATTCCACCAGACTGATCACATCTATTTTCTTTTTAAAGAAAAATTTGTTCTTACTTCAGGATTGTGAGATGCTGTAACCATGATGCCAATAGTAGATACCACGGCTTTGGACCGGAGAACTGCCAGCAAGCCCATGCGGAACATGACATGATCGAGCTGTTCGGCTTTGGTGCGGAATCCAGCAGTGCCATACTGCAGAGTAAGTCCAGCAGGTTTAGGATGTAACGCTGAGTATTTTTTAAGTGCTTCAGAATCCATTTCTTGAGAAGGAAGTAACACGAAGTAACACGGATGCAAGTGAGAGAAGTCAAGTCATTGTAATTAGTTTCACGTTTTGCACTTTAATTTTGAAGCCCATAAGTATTTTAAACTGGCGCCAACGCAATACCGTTCATGTCCCACAAACCCCTTGGTGGGACTGCAAGGGGAACCATTCCCAGAGCAATCCATGAAGGAGCCTCGACATCCCCAGTACAGCACTAGTTAAACAGAACTCGACCAGATTTCACCAGATCATGAAGGGACAATGAGATTTAGGTGAGGAGAGCCACGATTCTCAATTGGCTGGATCCAGGGATCCCAACAGAGTTACAGTAAAGGGCTGGCCATTTCCCACTGCAACATTAGCCGCTCAGTGCACTCGGCCGCGACTCCTTACACTAACTTTTGAGTTCAAAAGCAGCCTCACCTCCCTCTTCAAGCCCTTGCAGCCACAGGGGAACCCCCAGCAGCGTCACCTGGATGTTTTAGTCGGATCGCGGCTCTGCTAAGGTGCTCTGCACGGACCCACCGCACCGGCCGTGCCAACGCCACGGTTTCCACCCCGCCCCAGGCACCTGAGGCGCTGACAGCCCGGAACCCAAAGACTTGGGTTTCCCGGGAGCTGCCCGGCGGGTCATGGGAATAACGCCGCCGGATCGCCAGTCGGCATCGTTTATGGTCGGAACTACGACGGTATCTGATCGTCTTCGAACCTCCGACTTTCGTTCTTGATTAATGAAAACATTCTTGGCAAATGCTTTCGCTCTAGGCCGTCTTGCGCCGGTCCAAGAATTTCACCTCTAGCGGCACAATACGAATGCCCCCGGCCGTCCCTCTTAATCATGGCCCCGTTTCCGAAAACCAACAAAATAGAACCGGAGTCCTATTCCATTATTCCTAGCTGCAGTATGCCGGCGGCCGGCCTGCTTTGAACACTCTAATTTTCTCAAAGTAAACGCTTCGGGCCCCGCGGGACACTCAGCTAAGAGCATCGAGGGGGCGCCGAGAGGCAGGGGCTGGGGCAGGCGGGGGGGCCCCCCCCGGGGGGGGGCCCCCCCCCGCCGAACGCGCATGCGCGCGCCCCCTCCCGCCCGGCGGCGGCTCGCGCAGCGTCCGCTCAACGGCCGCGCCTTGGCGACGCTAGGTTGCGGGCTTCGCGCTGCTTCCTCGCCTCGGTGGCCTCACCGGGGAGGCGACAGGTCCCTTCATGCCGCCTCCCCTCCGGCTGCCCGCTGTCCTCTACCGCGACGACTCAAACCGTGCGGCCCAGGTGAGGCTGCCGGCGCGCATGCGCGGCCCGGCGGTGGCGGCCGCTCGCTGGCCGCGGTGCCGTGCCCCGTCCTTGGCGTAGGCTCCATTCTCCAGGTTGGCTGCGGAGCACGCCTGTAAGGGACTAAGCTTTTTTTACTCAGCCGTATTTAATGTAAATTCTGTCCTTAAAAAAATACTGAGGTTTCTCGGCGGAGGCCGGCGTGTTCGGTTGCACGGATTAGTGCTCACTGTGTGTTAAACCCCAGGGTTTGACTCCAGGCCTCTCATTCCCGGTGTCTGCGGAGGGCAGAGCAATGGCTGTCATGGTACAAGAGTGCCTGGAGCTCCAGCTGCTGGAAGTGGAAATGCTCCTTTCAATGTTTCCCAAAAAAGGTGAAATAAACCTGGATGAGGATGCTGTGCCCAGCGTGCAGCGCTACCTGAGAAACACTGATGGAGCTCTGCCCCCGCAGCTCGAATATTCAATCGCTATTGATGTCGGGGAGGCAAAGGTGAGAACTTCCACGTAGATGTGTTCATGTGTGTTATTTTCTTTGCTCCTTGTGCAGACACTTAAAAACTGCCCTGAAAAAAGGGATAAAATGCACCTAATGTCTGTTCTCTGTTTGAAAAGTCAAGAGTAACAAAAACGTCTTGGTTTTTATTATTTATTTGAGTCTTAAATTTCTTTGGGCAAGAAAGGCTAGTAGAATTGCACATAGGAATACACAACTGACATCACTGGCATGCATGGCGTTCACAAGAGCTTAGGTAGGGTTGTGTCCACAGGAGGGTTGTCAGTTTACTGGTTTACAGAGTTGTGTGTTACAAAGGCAACGCTCCCCTCGTGGGAATACATACGTTCAACTTTACATTATTCTAGCAAAACGTCCCCATTGTTGCTGTCTTCCACCCCCTTGCCACATTTACTAACATTCATTGATCTGTATTTGAAATACAATAATGTAAGAATAGCCCCAAACAGCAGAATACTATTAAGACGACTCGCACAAATGCTAAACCAAAACCAGCCGATAAACTGCGATACAAAACCCTGAACTTACAGTATAAGGAGTTTCAATAGTTTTTTCTATTGAAGAGAAGGTTACGTATGACAACTAAGCAATGTAAATACTTGCACAGAGAACATAGCCATTAGTGTAGGTCTGAGTATATAATAATGCAATGACTGGAAATTGAAACCCAACAAACTCAACCTAGCAGTATATGTATTTTCCTAGGAATGAGGATAATTAAAAACATCAGAACAATTTACCGGGTAATGAGGTGGCCTCATGATTATTTGAAAACTTATGTACAAGACTGGGTCTCTTTCTAAAATGCACCCTTTCACCAGCCTTCACAGAGAAGTTTTATGAACTGTGTAGGGAGAGCTTCTGCGGGAAGAATTTTTTTTTCCATGGCAGATTGTCAAGGGACTTGGAAAGATAATTAGTCATTCCACAATTCACTTCTCTCTGCGGGACTAATAGTTCGGTTGTATGCTGTAGTGAAAGTCCCCTAATGGTATACAAGAGCCTCAAGCACTGAGGAGATACAAATCCTCTCCTGCCCTTGGACTACAGGCAGGTTTCTGTTTACAAAGAACTGAGGTGCTTCATTTTTAAGACACTGTAGGAATAATCAAGGGCAATTCAACAGCCCGTTGTTTGTAGGAGATCAGGCAAGATAATCTAGAGCTTTCCTGGACCTAAAATGCACGTAGATATTTTTATCCCCTATAATCCTGAAAATACTTCCTCTGTTAGGGTGAATACTTGCTTAAAATTATAATAATGCCTTTATATACAATACGTACAATCATGAACACTTTTTTTCCTATAATTATTGGCCTTGTTTTCCTGGGGTAGATCCAGCAACTGGGCTGATCAGTTGTGCGTTTGGTAAGGGAGGAGGTTCTCAAAAGCCCCTTGGCTCTGACAGACTAGTCATTTATTGCTGTAGCAACAGTGAGCACATGCTGAGAACATGCACTAGAAATATCCCTAGAGGGTAACTGTGTACCTTCTTTCAAGCTACAGCATTACTTTGGTAAACAGCAGAAACATGAGAGATGTTTTTTTTTTTCTTTTTGTGTGTGTGTGTTCTGTTTTTAAGGTAAAAGTGGAATTGCAGGTACGGCTGCCTCATATGTATCCTCACGTAGCTCCTCAGCTTTTTGCAAGATCAAATGCGCTGCACAGACAGCAACAGTTGCAGCTCAACACTCGTCTCGCTTCTCACATCAGCTCTTTAGATTCAGGTGAACTGTGCATGTATGAAGCTGTGCAATGGGTGAAAGAAAACAGCCTGCCTTACTTGGAAAACAGTAAGATCTCTTCTGAAAGTGCTTCAAAAGAAGTTGTAGTTAAAGAAACACTGCATCGAATGTGGATCTACAGCCATCATATATATAGGCAGGAATTGAGGAAAAAGATTTTTGACTGTGCAAAGAAGTTAAATCTGACTGGCTTCTGCCTCACAGGGAAACCTGGTGTGATCTGTGTGGAGGGACTCCGAGAAAACTGTGAAGAGTTTTGGCGTGCTATTAGGTATCCCAACTGGAAGCATATTTCATGCAAGCACGTGGAGAATGTAGAAACGGAGGGAAGCATCGATAATCTTCGTCTCTTTCATGCTTTTGAAGACCTGCAGTTTCAGGCACATGGTGATTATGGCCTGAGGAACGACTATCACATGGATCTTGGCCAGTTCCTAGAATTCCTGAAACAACATCAAAGTGGACATATTTTTCAGATTTTATTTGGTGTCGAAGGCAAAATTCCAGACAAATAAGAGAAACCATGTAAGGAGTTTTAATTTTGGACAGCAAGAGATGACGCTAACATTGAAATATTGTGCTTTATAGCTATTGTGAAAAGGGAAACTGTTGACCATACGAGAACAACAGTTCAAGTAGTTAATCTTAGCTTCTGTTCTGAATGTGGAGAGGTGTTTACTTATTTTCTGAGACCCTAAAAGTGGCATTTGTCACTACGAGCCACGCCTCAAAGTGCTTGCAAGGTGATAAACATCTCACACTGTAGTATCATGAATTACACACTTGTCTCCTCATCTGTACTGTGCTGTGTGTTACTAAGCTGTGGTGCAGACCTGTAGTTAGGTTCTACATGCGGTTGTGGGATACCAAAGTGGCTGCAGTCATAGATTAATGTGGTTTCCAATACGAAAGCACACCCAGCTCAAGGAAATCTCACTGCGACGTTCATGGATTAGTGCATGCGATGTCTTTTACTGCTTCACGAAGCATCTGCTCTCACTTCATTCAACTAATCTGTGAAATGCAAAGGCTTGTGTCCAACCACAGGACCAAGTTTTGCTTTTAAATAAAGGACAGGGGGTGGGGGGGAGAAAGAAGCCCGCATGACCCATCCCTTGTGTGCTTTGGGTAATACCTGTATTGCCAATACCACCATTTTTGCAATCTTCTTCCATTGTCATGGACCATCTCATTACGGTCCAGTTATGTTAGTAGTAATTTTTCAGCTGCTCAACTCATAGCATTTTACATTTACATTGTTAGGCCAAGCACCTTGGAAATGTAAATGTTTAACATGAGACAAAAGTTTAGTTTCCTCTTTTTTCCCCCTACATTACATAAGGAAATACATGTAAAAATACAAAAATGAAAATAACTATATATATAGTATATGTTAGATAAAAATACGTATAACTTTACCCATCTTTTCTATGTCAAATTAGTACTGAGAGACAATTTTCCAGTAGCTTGTAATAGGAAATGATATTAATGGCTCATTAGACAGCGCTTTCCTACAGGGTAGTGTGCTGACTGTGTATTTAGATAGTGAATTGCAATTCAGTCTTCCAATTTATAATGGATTATCAGATTTAAATGTCATCAATATAATCTCACAGAATCATAGAATAGTTTGGGTTGGAAGGGACCTTATGTAGGAGAGACTACTACTGAAAAGTCCCCAGTGGCTGTGCCTTGAAGAACCACCAGCTTACCGCCTTCCACTTCGCCACTGAGCACCATACTGTGAAAACTGGTACTGAGCAAAAAAAGCAGGCTTACTGCTGAGCTGTAGAGGTTTGGCTGTTCAAATCTAAAAACCAGGCCGTTTTGACAGCAGCTGTATAAAGACCGTTCTTCAGTACACTCAGCTGACGACTAAAAAATTAACAGATACTTATTTCAAATAAAACACAAGGAGGTGTTTTACTACTTCTTTCATAATAGCAATATATCGAAATACAGAGGATGGCAGCATTTCTCGTTGCTCAGAATGATGATTGATTAACGTACATTCCTTCACTGTGGTAAGTATATTGTATGTGTGATCATAACTTTGGCCAAAAGCACAGTAAGGCAAAAAAGGTTTATAGGTTCCTATTACGCAGTGAGGGAGAGAGCGCCTCACCGCTTTGTGAATCCAGGACCTGCAGTCTGCAGCTGTGGCAGAACTGAGGAGCTGGACAAATAAAATTCATTTTTGGTTCTGCAGAGATACCTTTATAGCATGATACCAGAAAAAATGTTGAAGTACCTTTTGTTTCCGGAACTGTCCAGAAAGTATATTACATTTTTCTTAGAGTGCTAATTCTGTAACAACTAATAATTCTTTGGGTTTTTTTAGAACATTGATGTATGAGCACAGATTCCACATGATCATGACTCAGAAACGATAAAACAATTTGTATTCAGTCCTGTTGGGAAGTTGCCAAATGATAAACTTTTTCCTTTGAAGTAGCAAAACAAACCAGTTTAGAAATAGGCCTTATCCGTGAGATTTCAACCAGAAGGAAATGGGAAAGGCAGCGCTGGTTGTAGGTCAGAAAGTCTAGGAGTTAGAGCTGTCTAAAGCTTTATTCTGAGCACAAGATTTGTTCATTTTTTTCTAAAGGAGGAAACTGCTGATAGTACAATCCAATCGTGTATCCTCCTAAGGAAAACCACAGACTCATGACTTTTACTTCTGGAAATGCTAATTATGAATCCAGAATAATGCAGGTCATGAGCAGCATCCCTGGATGCTTCCGTTGCGCTTTGCAGAGGGAATCACTGTTTTTGCAGAAGAATACGGGTCGCTGCCGGGTATCACTTTTCATAACTGGTTGACAGATGAGAAAGGGTAAAAAAAAAGTAAGGTCTCTTGAGTTGCAATCAGTGTGTAGATGCCCTTACTCAGCATGCTGAGTTATCAATTCAGTTGTAAAAACTATTTTAAAGACCACACTGAAGAAAGTGAGCTAACCGGAGCATTCAAATAGTAGCAAGCGAGAGAAATATTCAGTAAATACCAAAGAATTAATAAAATGTGTTTGTTTCCCCCCCATAATAATTATTCATCTAGCAGACCTCAGCTGGGTGATTTGGAAGCTTGTTACAAAGAATAATACTTTTATCACATATGATGTGTGTTTAAAAACACATTGGCCTCAAATACTACAGGAATTCATTAGGTTTAATACATAAAAGCCCTACTACTAGCCAGATGGCTGATGTTTGTAAGAAAATACTTAGTCAGAAAGAAGCCTATTCATAGCATTTTGATACTCCCTTTTTGTCAAGAGCGGGGAGTCCAAGCACTTCCATGAACTTTAGGCCAAACAATTACAGGGGATCAAAACAGCAGTTGTCTCGCTGGGGGAATGAAATCTTTAATCATTTACAGGACTTCAGCTAAGTAACATTAAAGTATTCTAATTAGATGTAAAGAAAAGGTTCTGCAGTTCTGCAGAAAAGGTTCAGTTCTCGTTACAAAATCTTCCTTACTCCACGCAGGAGTGACCAATAAAGCTTTTCTTTGGAGGAAAATATTCTAAACTTACTGTTCTTTAAAGTGGATTTGGTTTTTGTTATTATTATTTTTGAATAATAGCATGACAATTTATGCAAATTACATTGTGACCGGTAATGGATTAACAGTCATCGTATGTGTCTCTCAATTTTCCATGGTACCATTTATCTGCTTAAGTTCTCATTGACATTTGTGACAAAACTTTGAACTCAAGGTACAACCCCTTATTTTGATAACAAAAAGATCTGTCAAGCTATAGTGTAGGATATCTCAAGTAAAATAATAATAAAAAAACCTCAAACAACACAAATATATTTCTCAGATTAATTTTTATTTTCTCATGTATAATTAATATGATTTCTTAATCTGAGTTTCTAACCACATATTACAATTTAGAAAAAGTTTTCTGCATCTTAAAAAATTAGCTCTTCTTAGGCTTCCTAGACAGAAACGTTCTGAATATTTTAATGCTTTTTAAATGCTGCTAGTTTGTTCATTCTTCATTAAATATTTACAGTTTCACTTTCATGGCTTCTTCAGGCCAGGTGTAGGAGTCAGCCACAAAGCTGCTATAATCGGTACTGTAAACCTGAGAGCGGATGAAGGCTTCGAGGTCCTTGGGCTGAGGATAGGTGGAGGCAGTGTTGTTCCTGTAGGCTTCTTCTGCGATCTGGAAAGATGCATTAAAATCCTCATTAGTGCTGATAAACTATTTGAGTACTTTTAACAGGAAGTATCAATTAGTTCAAAAATCAAGATAAGACTTGGTCTTCTCCAGCGCTGACAGTCACCTATATGCACACTGGATCCAGGCAAGTATACAGAGAATAAGACTAGGAACAGGATGATGTTTGCGTTTAAGTGACTGTGACGCATGCTACTTTTGAACAGGATTACGTGTCTTTGCTGTTACAAATACAGTGCTCCTGCGTGTCCAGGAATATCTTCACTTTTATTGTGCACGGCGGATAAAATATTTCACAAACCCCAAGCCCTGAGATACAATTTCTGCTTTTGCATCACTGGAAGAGAAGTGTGATTTGTTCAAAGCTCCTGTGCATTAGAGAAGTTCATTATTTGTCACAGTTTGATAATGTATTTCTTAAAGGTAAACTCATGATAAAAAATCAGTCCTACACAGTGCACAGGTTCAATTCTAGAGCTGTTTGAGGGAAGTACAAATATTTGCTTGCTTTGTCCTCACCCAGACCATGCCTAAGTGAATCAATTATGCATCGCAATCATAACTGCAACACAAACACAGTTTAGAAGGGGTTGGAGCCCACTCAACACATCAAAGCAGCCTCTCACATCTGAAGAACACCTGGGGGAGAAATGTGTATTTTTTGACTGGACATTCATCTATGAAATGGAGGAAGTTTGACGGACCGGTTTTACGCAGCAGCACTCTTTGGAAAGGTCTGCTTCAAACTGTACTTGGCAAACAGACAAATGCTCCTACGCTGAATAAAAGGAAGACGGTCTGCTTCCCGCTCTCCTTAGCTCTCCCTTTAAAACATAAATGTTTTAGCTCCGTGAGAAGCTGAGACCTTACGTGGAAGAGTTACCATATTTAGACTTCCTTTCTAGGATTAATCTGAAGCCCAACCTGATTTGACTGAGAAGCACTTCGGGTGTTTATGTAAGAGTTCATCTGCAGGTCTGTGCGTGTAATTATAATGGTTGAATGAGGTCTGAATTTATAGCTCACGTTTGGTATTCCAAAAAATTTTGAGAGTATTCCTCACCTGGAAAAGGCAGAGGCCATTGCTAAACCTCTTGGGCCATATAGGCCAGAATAGGTATTTGCAGGAATAAAGTTTCAACAGAGAACAGGCAGAAAGAATTGTTTGGTAATGTTTTCCCATTTTGTATTTTATATAACACCGACGCAAGTAGAGGAGGAGTTTCCGTGACTGTGTTTCTGCCAAACGCACTTTGATTTCACCTGAGGAATCTAGGTAACATTTTGACATCTACAGAACAGAGTCATTACTCGCCTAAGATGAC